TTTGCAAATCAGTGACTTCCTATACGTTTCTCGGCTGGTTGTACCGAAGTAACGGGAGGTAAACTTTGCTCAAGGGAATGCATGGTTAAGACAAAGATCGTCCGTTGTCCGGATTCAATCCGTACCATGTCACGTGTTACAATAATATGCTGCCGCATAAACGTTAAAATATTTTTTGATCTGGCCTTGCAGCGGTTATGCGCTATTTCAGTAATACGATGGCATCGTTTTACGGTACTATGTGAAGTATTGCTTTATGTGATTGCGTTAGTTTCTTATGCAGTTACTAATTAATGAAAAGTTTTATTTAAACTACTCATATGCGCCTGTTCCTGATTGGCAGACCTGTATTTTAAAAAATTTCCGCTCTATGAAGAACGAACCTTTTTTTCGAGTGTCTTCCCTTGGACGCTAAACCGCATTCTTGATTATTGTGGTTCGTATAAGCAGGACGACTGGTTTTGGATGCCCACTGTATTTGCAGCCTTTGAACACTTTCTCTGATCATAGGGCGCCATTTATCGCATCGTAGAATGAACACTTATTCGTGATGCGAATCTGCCTCTACCTTTATGATTATTGTACATAGGGTAGTTAATCTTTTAATGATTGCAACTGTTTATTGTTTGTTTGCGTCGGTTGTGATGATTTTATTACTGCTGCACAATGTAAATGTTTCCTGTAGTACTCTACACGTTTAGTAGGTACTGGCTATCATCAGAAAGTAGTACTATTCTTATTTTTGTGCTTGCATATTGCTTTAGCACGTGGGAAAAAATATTTTGTAATTTTTTTGGGATCAGGAATCCAGCCAGAAGTTTTTCCAGCGATTAAGTGTTTCAAGTACCTTGATTCATTGATTATTGTTGACGGTCATTTCAAAGAGAACTGAACAGGATAACGGCTCAAACAGGGCCGCTGTGTAGAAGCCTGACGAAACTCTGCTGTCAACACTGTGAATCTGACGTGAAAGGAACATCTTGAACTAAATGCCGTTCTGCATTTTGAGATTTGTCACTCGCATCATCGAGTAACAGGCCTCCAGATGTCTGTTGTCTCTGGCCGGATTGTATCGCATCATGTCCATGTTACAGAGGGGGATGATTGTTTGCTGTAACTACGAGAAGCAAGGGCATAATATTGTTGGTTGATCTACCTCATATAGAAAGACACAAGCTAGAAGCACATACATTACGCAAACCAATAATCCTCTAACAGCATGCTCTTTGTATTGACTTCCAGCATATTTCCGTTGTTCAGGGAAATTTTTTTTACCCAGCTGCAGTTCATGCCTCAGATTTAAGGTTGCGATGTTTTTAGGCATGGAGGATGCGCATACTCATCTGCTCGCTATTCCGGACGACAAAGACGCGTCGTTTTTCGGAGTTTATGACGGACATGGCGGTTAGGCGTTTTACTCGACAAACAGCTTGTCACGTTTCATGTTTGACAACAAATTTTAGGGGCGTCGGTGTCGCAACACGCGTCGTACAATTTGCACAAGTTCATCGTTCAATCTCAAGCTTACAGTACGCCGTTATTCTGCGCTTGAACAGTTGTTAAACGTGATTCAGTTTCAGGGGACGGAAATATCACTGAAGCCATACGCGAAGGGTTCCTGAAAATGGATGATGAGATTTTAAACAGTACGTTTCGCATTTCGATTTATAACGTTTTTTTCTCAGACGAAAATTCCGCACACCAGAAGCACTTGCTGCCTTTTCGCCCATCCTATCAGCGTTTGAATTAGTTGTTTTACATATTCTATATTGCCTAACAGTGAAACTGGGCATCACGATGTTACGCACCCATCTGGTTACTCCATGATTTTCAGCGGATCATTTAGGAGGCCGGGTCGTTTTTCTCCACTTACCTTGATCACTTCTTTCCGTTCCCGGAGGTATACGCCACAGACAGTGCGTCCAACGTTTCCGTTCTTGTGCCACAGTTTGAGCTTCGGCAGGAAACAGTTGGAGTCTAGAGCTGACTCCTTCCATTCCATGAACCTTAGCCGTCCCCTGAGCTTCCTGCCTGTCGGCTGGGCAACAAGTTGTTGATTCGCCTTCCTTTCTTGAGCCATTCACAGCACATGCCCAGACAATCGCAGCTGTGACTTCTCAGTCTGGAGAAGCAAAGGCTCTGTTCCAAGGCTCTTCCGGATGTCACTGTTCCTTACCATGTCGAGACGCGTAAGGCCAGCAACTCGTCTAAGAAAGTCCATTTCAGCAGCTTGTACCCGGGTTCGAAGTTTTTCAGTGATGGTCCACGATTCATGACCGAAGGTAAGCATGGGGATAAAGATCTACTTAAATATCGAGGGCTTAGTTTTCAGACTGAGCTCTGCCTTAGTCAAAATAGGTCATGCTAGTTCACGCAGAACGCCATTGGCTACTCCAATTCGCCGGTCGATCTCTTCCTCCAGTTTTCCATCACTAGTAAATACAATTCCGAGGTGTCTGGCATCTGCTTCTCTGCCATGATCGGTAACGAGAATCGGCGACGTGATTCTACTTTCAGTTTTAACATACAAATTCATCCCATTTATTAACTTTTTTGCACAACCCGCATTCGGTATTCGAGAAAGTAGTTTGCAATCGCTTTTTCCGTTGGCTCCATGAACATAGTTCCAAGGCATGATATTATCAGGTGTTCAGCATTACCGGAGTTTTCTGGCTTTCGGATGGCCTATCATACAAATTTTGGCAGAATACCTGACTTTGGAGTATCTCTTTTGATATTCTTGTAACTTATCCATATCATCGTTATTGTGATATCTCGATTTCGTTAAGGGCTTTACGTAAATATTAAATAACAAAAATCTTTTCCTGGGTAACACTGTATTTATTATGCACTGAGCGTCTGTTTTGGATCGGACAAGATCCACCTTCAGGTAGTGACATAAAACGAAGCAAATTCATGATACAGTCTAAAGCTTAATGATTTTTGATTTTGAATGGTTGAACTTACGTGTAGTGGTAATACTCTTGTACCGTAAAGTGCTTGCTATATACGCTCATGTTTGTTTATTTTGCGTCATGTCAATAAGTTTTACATGAACACGATGTGGAGACTATTATTTCATT